TAAAGCCACCTCCTCTGGTTTCAGCCAAGGCTGTCCAGCTGAGTGCCATTTCTTACATGCCCTTGGTGGAAGAAAGGAGAGGCAACAGGGTTTAAAGCCCTTCGGAATAAAACTTATTTAAACATTATTCCAAAGTCTTAGTTTGATTGGGGGAAAAAAATCTCCAGAGAACCACCAGAGTCACTTGGTCGATATTTTTAGTCTGGAGTCAGTTGGATCCAAAGCATCTGGCTTCTTGTCCTTCCTTTCTTCTTTCACGGGGCTGAGCAAAATTGCCCTGAAAAACCACAGAGTCATTTGAAATTCAGTCAGGGCATCTGCCTGTACCGTAATAGAAGATCTGGACCAGAATTAAGCTTGAGTGACTAGGATCTGGCTCTTTTTATTACACTTAAGAGATTGACCAAAATCTCCCCATAGATGTTCTCAGGGAACTTGGTCCTCAAAAGCTGTGAACAAGCCCTGTTTATGTCCATGAAGTAGATAAGAGCTCTGAAGCCATGGTCTCGGTGACTCTGCTGGAATAGTCTAAAGCCCCAAGCTAAAGAATTTTCATATATATACACAGACATCCCCACATATGTGTGTATGTGATATTACAACATTACATTGTCTCATTAGATGCTTATCACTATCTGGAATTGGAGAAGATTTTGAATTGATCCCATTTTGGAACTCAGAGAGAAGTTAGAAGTCCATGATTTGCCTAAACTCACCTAGATGATATGAAGATCCAAGAACTGTTCTCGGCTTTCCCATGCCTCTGCTTCTGTTTGATGTACAACTGTATGAGTTGAGGGGCTAATACCCAGGTCATAGCATTTAGCAGGCCTCTCAACGAGGCTATAATTGCTATCATGTTGCACCTTTTACCCTACTGATAGCTCACACATAGCATTATAATACTGAGCACTTATGAGTGAGGCTGAGAAATCTAGTGTGTTTGCAGTGTCTAGAGTGGCTGGCTACCTGCCCGACTGAGGGTACTGTGAGGAGGTACAGTTTCAGATAACTTGGATAAGATGTTTAAAGCTTGTGTAGTATGGTGCTTGTAACTGAGTTAAGACGTTGGTAGCAGCCACTTTCTCATTTAGTTAATGATACAATATGTGCAGTGATACTTTAAGAATTATTGTAAGTTCCCAAGAACTATAAAGCGATTTTACTTCAGGACCTTACATTTGTATTGAAGAAGGATGAGTGTATCAAATTACCAGTAAGTTAAGGCAGCCAGTGGCAGGGGTGAGGTCCAGGCAGCATAGCCAGTGGAGAGATCGTGCACATTGGAATAATTTTGGAGGACCTTTTAGATTTTGCTGTGGATTTGAAATGTAGAGGATGATGACAGCTTTCTCGGTGGTTGGTTAAGAATAAACAAAAATGGTGGGCCCAGAGACCCAGACATGCACATTTTAAAGACCAAGACTTCCTGTAAGACCTTACAAGACCCATCTTACTGGGCAGACATTAATTTATAGTGAGAATAAAATATTGATATCAAAACATTGATCTGGGGTAGGGGAAATGGTTAAGATGATAAAGTGTTTGCCATGCAACTGTGAGAACCAGAGGTTTTGACCCTCCCCGCCCCAGCATCTACATAAAAACTGGGTAAATTGGACTGCTTATAACTCCAGCTTTTGGGACGCAGAGGGACATGAATTCTAGGTCAAGCTCGCCAGCTACACCAGCTGAATCATCAAGTGTTAGGTTGAATGAGAGATCCTGCTTCAGAAAATAGAGTGGAGAGTGGCTGGGGAAGATTGTTAACCTCTGGCTTCCAGATGTGCATGCACTTACACATATGTGTGCCAGAACACATGCAAGTGCACACACACACACACACACACACACACAGAGAGAGAGAGAGAGAGAGAGAGAGAGAGAGAGAGAGAGAGAGAAATCCAAAACTGATCGGGAGGACTGTGATTGGTACTAAATGCTTGGATGAATGGTTGATTCATCACTGAAAGAGGTGCCATTGAAGCCTTTGATCAGGAGACATACTGAAAGGATACCAGCTTACCTGTGGCCATAAAGAATAAGGGGTAAGGACTACTGCTGATAAAGAGACAAGATATAACATGAGCACAGTGTCCCATGTGCAGTGAACAGGGGACACACATGGAGGCCTGGATGGACTTGAGGATCAGCACCTGAGAAATTCGTGGGCTCTGTCCCATACCAGCTCCTTCAGACTTTCTCTTAGACACTTGCTACTTTGATCGGACAGTGTAACAGTTTTTGCTCTAGCCCTGAAGGAATGTGCCATCTATCACTTTTATTGCTCCCTCAAAATTGACTTGGATGAACTTTTCAAGTGTCTCCGACGCTAAGCCATTTGAGCCTCTTTCGAACATATTGAGCGGTTTGGTATCATTTTTGAAAAGTCTTGCACACCTCGTTCTCTAGCCCAGTAGATTTGAAGTCCTCTCAGTGACATCCCTGTCAGGTGGCTTTGACACTTTGTCACTGGAGGTGGCTCATGATTGCTGTGGGCATATGGATGTCAAAGCTGACCCTGTATTTCACTTAATCTGTGACACAGAAGCAATATTGTCCTGGGGGAAAGGCCCCTGCTGTTAACAAAATGAGGTTTAGCAAGACATAGCTGGAGAGGCTGTGCCAAGGGTCCTGGAATTCACCCAAGGTGAATGCTTCACAAGAGGGCTTGCAGGGGGCAGCATGTAGAACTCCTATCTATGGTTTGTTGTAACACACAGACAGAAAGCAAGGTCAGCAAAACAGAAACACAGGGTAAGCCTGGAAGTAACCAGCTACCATCAGGTTTAGCTCCAAGTCCTTTAAACTGTGCTAAGTTCTTTCAGTAGTGAGCTGCAAGACACATATAAATATTATTTATCTGTCTCATTAACACTCCTCGCCCAGGAATTTCACTGAGTCTTGTTTGCCTAAGTATCTTTTGCATAACACAGAACAGAATGCTAGACTCCCAGAAGGAAAGCAGGGGTTCTGCATGAGCAGTATTAGGCCAGGAGCCATTCAGATTGTTCTGGGAACTGAACAAAGTATGCCAAAGGGTAAGATGTCAGAGGCTAAGCCTGTGCCAATTTTGCAAGCACCTTTCCTAAGGATACAATCTTTCTAAGGGTGGTTAACTCTTCCCTGAACAGGAAACAAAGATATTCTGACTATCGTTGATTGCTAAGAAGTTACTACAAAGCCAAAAGAGTCTTGTCATAATTCCAAATTAAGAAGTCATGTTTCCAGTTTCTCCCTTTCTCCAGTTTATCACCTCTGTAGGAGGGGAGGGGAAAGAAGGTCAATATGGAAGAAGAGGAAAGGAAGGGGAACTACCACAATAACACTAAGGATACTTGAGAAAGCCATAAGGAATCATTTTAAATATCTAAATTTACATATAACACATATAAGTCTAGTATACATACAGTTTAAATGAAATTATGCCACTTAAGATTATAATGCTTCACCTAAGAGCCATAGAGAATCTAAAGAATTCCCTAGTGTCAGGCATGAGAAACCTCCTTAAGAGTTGTTGGTTGTGGGAGTCCAGAAGACTCCTAAAACAATAGAGGCTGTTGCTATTGCCCTCGGCTGCTTCCCAGAAGTTGAAGGCTAAGTCCCCATTGCTGAAGACACTGAGCACTTTGGATACAAGACAAAGAGGTGTCGAGCTGGATCTGATCCCAAGCCCTCTCCCTGAGGATTAGCTTTTGCAGTATCCTAAGGTGCTACTGGGTCTGCCAAAGGAGCAGAACATCCAGTGTTCTGCTCAGCTGTGACACCGATGAACCAGAACAATGGTCAGCACAGCGAGATTGCCATAAAGGCACAATAGTGGCATGTCAATTGTACTTAAGGCCAACTGAACATGAGGGAAATCATGCCAGGTACTCGAAACCTAACCAATTACCTAAGTCTAGTTAGATAAGTAATCTCCTCGGAAAGCCTGCTATGGCCAATTTCCCAACCCAGGGTAATTCCTAACTGCAATCTGGACACTTATCCTTACATACACAGTCAAGTGTAGCTCTCATCTCCATCAAAGATACTTCTTTTCTCAATAGGTGAAGACCACTACAGAAAGTTATAACTAGTCACCCTGCAGAGAACGATTCACTGTTGGGTGCCCAGCCCCAGATGATAGATCTCCAACCCCCTCCCCCCCATCCTAAAGGCTCAGAGAACATCTTGGAAGAGGGAACAGGAAGAATGTAACAGCCAGAAAGCCAGGAAGTCTGCTGCAAGATTGAATCTTGTGTATTTGACAGGGAAACTTCACAGGAAGAGTGAAGTGGCTGAATCCGGGAGATTCATTGGGCATTACTGTGTACTTCCTTTGGGGGATTCCCTTTCCTGATGGGAGAGACAGTTTGCTTGTTGGTCTAAGGACAGTCTTTGACAATTGCATTGTCTTTGTTACTGTTTGCTGGTTAAGAATGAAACGAAAAGCTGCTTATTTTGAGGACAAACATCCTGTGGGAAGGGTGACAGCCTTTGAACTTACTCTTCTAAGCTTGGGCGTCTCCCAGACCCTGGCATCTAGGCACTGCCTTTGCTATTTAATTTCTCTTTTCCTGGGTTCTCAGATACTAAAGCTGAACAGAGCCTCAATGGTATGTGATCAGGTGAAACAATGCTTTTTATTTTAGTTAAAAATATGTAGTGTAATTTGTAATATAATATATACAGTTATGATATTTATGTATGTATACATATACTATATGTTCATACATACATATTTCTTACGGGAATATCTCTTATTTTAGTGTGGCTAGCTTAGAGAAGTTTGTGGACACCACCGCCTCCTTTATCTCATTCTCCAGATGGCCCAGAAATAGAAAATGATTTCATGGTGGAAGGTGGAGAGGGAAGTTCTATGTGGTACTTGCAGTAATGGTTACTATAGCAATGGGTGACAATTCTGGCCTCTTTTACTTCGGTGAACCTCAGGAGGGCATGTATGGGCTGCAACAAAGGAGGTTTTAAATTCTTTGTCTCTTGTCCTACTGTCTCAGGGCTTCCAGCAAAAGTTCTCCTTCCACAGTAAAGAGATCGTGGCTATCAGCTGTTCTTGGTGCAAGCAGGCGGTAAGTGTGGGATGAAATATGCCCCGTGGGCTCACGTGTGACCATATCTGCCCATTCCAGCACTTGGGTTCCTGCCTGCGTGTGGAAAGATTGCTCATTGAACATTCAGTTTTTATCATATAGCATCCTTAGAAGGAGAAAGACTGAAAAATTATTGAACAAAAGCAAATATAAGTAGGGGGAAAACAGAAAAAAATTTTCTTCTTTCATTGAACTTGAAGCCCAGGATGAAAGACTGGAAACCCTCCCTGGTTCTCACCCTGGAGCTGGAATCTAGAGTTCCTTCCGCCTGGACCACCCACATCTTACCTGTCCACGAGACAGCTAAGGGCTCCTCATCATACCAAAGTGCAACTCAGGGAGTCTTGAGTGAACTCTGCAACATAGGGCCAGGAGTCCTGCTTCTCCTGGTCCTGATGTGGGTGGCTTTGTTGTGGGTGTGTGAAGAGCAAGTACCTTTAGTGTTGTCTCTTAGGTTTAGATGTTTCTGAAGCTCCCTGTGCACGCGCCCACTGGAATATAGCCCTTCCTTGTATTGGACCATGGACATTCATGATGAGCCCACACTAATTTCCCGTTTACTTCTCTTTTGTTGCCCATCTCATTCTCATCTACTCTTAAAAGAACTTGGTCCCACTGTGAGAAACAGATGTGGCACTTGCTCCTTTGCTTTCCTCACTCTAACCCATCTGGCAAACTATGGCCCCCAGGGCCAAATATGGCTGCCCCCTGTTTTTATATAATGGTTAATTGCAGCATAGCCATACCCAGTTGTTTATAGGTTATCTGTAGCTCTGTTCGTACCTCAGTGGTGAGCTGAGTGTTTCCCACACACCCACGCCTTTTCAGAAAGAGTTTGTTAACCACCTCCCCCAGCCTTTCAGCCTATCTACTCTCTATCTTTCAAGATAGTCTTGCTACATAGAATATGCAATCCCTTGCATTTGTGATCCTTCTGCCTCAGCCACCTGAATGCTTGGATTATATGATATGTGTGAACACATCAGCTTTCCATCTACTTTTTTGAGTGACTGTGTAGATAAAGATATACCAGCTATTTATTGCGAAGGAAACTTGAAAAGAAGGTCTGTGTTGTGTTAGATTCAAGGTTCACAGGTCTACAAACAGCAGATTCAAAGCTAGCAAAGGGGCTGGAACAGATACAGTATGAAACGATTGAGGTTGATATTTTTGTGGGTTAAACTCTTTGCACTATAGTAAGTCTATAAGATTCAACCTAATAGTCTCACTAACGTAATTTCCTCAAGGCTTCCATTTGTCAAGAGCCTCCAGTGATTAGGTAGAGACCCACTGTTCTGGAAGGGTCGGTGTTTGTTGTGCCACTGTCATCCCATGTTTTGTTTCCTTGGCATTTCCATGTTTTCCCACTTGTCACCCATGTAACCTGTGTGCTTCTGTCTAAACACATGCTCACAGGTACCAGGCTATCCTACTATAGTGAAACTCTACATCCTAAGATCAGGATCTCCCTCTGGGACTAAGATGTCAACCAGTCCCTAATGCTTCCCATGCTGCTAGCCTTCCTGACCAGGAAAGAGCCTGCTGCTGGGATAGCATCAAGGCAAGTCTGTTCTGATAGACTGATGGTCCTTGAGCCCAGATGAGATGTCTTGTTCAGGCTCCATTTATTTGAAGCCTTAATCCAACTTTACAGTGAGCACCCGAATTCTTCTCATTAATCTGTCATCTAACTGATTCACTATAGAGACTTAATTTCCACTTAACCATTGCGGCAGAACTTTGGCCAATTTCCCACATTTTTAATATCCCAGAAAGTGTGGAAATCGGTTTTGCAAGGTCTTATATGCAGAATATATCCACAAAAATTACAGTATTGATCTATTGTAATAGTACAAGTAATTTCTTCCAGGAAATTTGATGTCAGATAACTAAACAAATAACAGATCCCTCTTAATGAAGAAGGAAAACCTTGGGGGAGGGAGCTGGGCTTCCTGTGTCTATGTCTTAGCTCCAGCATTTAAAGGCTATACGTTCCTGAGTGCACCTGTTAGTATCCAACTTGGAGATGACTCAAGTTTAAGTTGAAAGAGTTGCTTAAACAGTGTTTGAGAAAGGCAATAGGCATGCATAAATGGAGCCTGAACAAGACATCTCATCTGGGCTCAAGGACCATCAGTCTATCAGAACAGACTTGCCTTGATGCTATCCCAGCAGCAGGCTCTTTCCTGGTCAGGAAGGCTAGCAGCATGGGAAGCATTAGGGACTGGTTGACATCTTAGTCCCAGAGGGAGATCCTGACCTTAGGATGTAGAGTTTCACTATAGTAGGATAGCCTGGTACCTGTGAGCATGTGTTTAGACAGAAGCACACAGGTTACATGGGTGACAAGTGGGAAAACATGGAAATGCCAAGGAAACAAAACATGGGATGATGGTGGCACAACAAACACCGAACCTTCCAGAACAGTGGGTCTCTACCTAATCACTGGAGGCTCTTGACAAATGGAAGCCTTGAGGAAATTACGTTAGTGAGACTATTAGGTTGAATCTTATAGACTTACTATAGTGCAAAGAGTTTAATCTGATTTGCTAAAAAAACAATCAATTTTGAAAGGTTCGAATGATATTTTTCTTGTGTGGCATTTCTCTGGTTTAGCTTGTTTGTGAGTCCCAAATGATGGGTGGCATGGGAAGTTATTAATTATTTAATCAGTATTTTATCCATGATTGATGTTAATTAACTACTAGACCACAGGAAATCTTGACAATATGCAGAAGTCAAAACAAAGTCTTTGTGATCGTGTGGAATAAAATTAGGGTAGCTGTGTTCGCCAGTTTTCCTCAGACAGTCCTAATTGATGTCTGTTTTTCCGACACTGTTATTATCAGTGCTTTCTTTTACTTATTATGTATACAGTGTTCTGTCTGCATGTATGCCTGCAGGCCAGAAGAAGGCCCAGATCTCACAATATTTGATTGTGAGTCACCATGTGGTCGCTGGAAATTGAACTCAGGACCTCTGGAAGAGTAGCCAGTGCTCTTAACCTCCAAGCCATCTCTCCAGCCCTTCTTTTACTCTTAAATAGCTCCAGTTCAGTTGAAATGTAAATTGTGTGTTTATTACAATAAGCGTAATTCAAGATCAAGCTAATTTAAATAAGAAAATCACTACGATTAGGACCTAAGTCCTTTAATTATTGCTTAAGCTGATTTTGATGTTCATTAGAAATGAAATATCCCCACACACGGCTGTCCCCTCATAATCAGAAGGTGACTGAAAATGTGGTTTGACTGAGGTGGCAATGCCAGCCTCACAACCGAGTGGGGAGTTCAGCCCCTCACCCCTCACACTGGGGGGTTGTGTGTTACTATTACTAGTTCATGTTTCCTTCCTTCCTACAGCAAACAAGTTCCTCAGGCTTGCCGAGTGTAATAGGGCCACTGTATTTTTAAGGGCTCTAGATAAGCCCAGAAGTGATCTCTTTGTGTTTTGCTACTGCTGAGGTTAATAGCTTCCTAGAAGAGACCATGTCCTTCCTTCCTGGCTCCCTAGGCTTGAAAGATTACTCGGGAGGATCTACAGCTATTGTAGAAGCAGTCAGGAGGTGGGCATTGTCTTCCAACTGTCTTCATTTTTCTCCTCTATATTATATAATAGAAACGGTTGTGTGTAATTAAGGTTAGTAGAGCCCTTCAAGGCTCAGCATCTTTGTATAAATAATCCATTTAACAGTGAGAATGTCTTAGCAGGCTTCATCCTGCTAGGTTCCCGGTTTACAACTGTTATGTCTATGCTGAAGTGAATCGCTCTGGAGACCAGAGCGATTAGATGGTTGAATGCTGATGCGGTCATGTGTTCCTTCATATTGTGTGTGTGTGTGTGTGTGTGTGTGTGTGTGTGTGTGTGTGAGTGTGTGCACGTATGTGTTTGTGAGTGTAACCACCCCTTCCTGCTGTGAATTACCTCTTACTCAGAATTACTCATTAGCCTGTTTTTCTCTTCAGTTTCACAATAAGGTGACCTGCTTCATGCTGCATCACATCGAGGAACCCTGCTCCCTGGGGGCCCACGCTGCTGTTATTGTCCCTCCCACCTGGATCATTAAGGTGAAGAAACCTCAGGTAACTGCAGGATCCTGGTGCTGCTGGCCTAAAGCAGAGAAAAATTAACCGCTGTGATTTGCTTTTATCCCTCAATAGTCTTCGGGCTCCTATAACCTCCACAGATTCATCCCTGTGGTCTGGTGCTTAGCTACTAAGCTCATCTCACTGGCCCATCACTTGACCTCATTGGGCTCTCTCGTGGAACCAGACTCCCATCCTCACGAAAAGCCAGTTTCCGAGTAAGGGTGTGTCCTCCTCATCCACGTGTAAAAACGCTCTATGCAGGCAGGTTTCCTGAGTTCCAGTTAGTCCCAGTGAGGGAATAGTGGGTTCTTATACACTTTCTTTCCCTCCAAGCGTGAGTGGAGTCCACGGAGAGCAAGGTTGGCAGGCGTCATAGTTTGGTTAAGATTTCTACCACTCTAAAGGGCAGACTGTGAGTCATGACCTCCATTACATACAAGGTCTGCTTAGAGAGCCACCATGGTTTCTTAAGGCGAATTGAATCTGCTATTTTAGTGCCTAATCCCATCCTGTGCTATTAGTGGCTTTCCTGCTTAAGCCAATCTCTTCTTATTCATCTGGGGGACTTTCCTGGGGATGGAGGGATTATCCTTGTGGGGATTATCCTTCTGTTTAAAAGGTGGGTGGGATTTAGAGCGGTAGTCGAGAAAGCCAGTGGCAGGCAAGACAATAGCACCCTGTGTACCAAATTATATTGCTGGGCCTGTGAGCTGAGTTGGATCATACTAGGTCTGCTGAGACATGTAGGAGGAAGCGTCTAAAATAGCCGGATACTCTTGGTTAAGGATGATTATACGGCTGAATTCCCATTCCAGAGTCCACAGTAACCTTTTCGCTATATTTGTGTTTCACTAGGAAGTATAATCTTTGTGGAGCTAGGTCTCAGCGTATTCATCTTCAGACATCTTACTGAATATAATGACATCCTAGATCATGGCCAATTAAATGCTTCCTTCATTGAGACTTTCTTCTTAACCTTTTAGAGTTTAAAGACTGTGAGAGAGGAACATTAGGATGTGAATACGGGTGCATGGCTACACCCACGTACAGACAGATAAAGTGGAAAGACAGATAGATGATGGATAGACAGACAGATGGTAGAGCTTCCCGTAGCTGGACAGTCATCCTGCTCAGTTATATCCCCCATCTTTCTTCTCCAAGCTTCTTCTCAATGTCTCTGAGGGATTTGCCAATATCTTTTTGTCTCCATGCTGCTAGCAACTTGCCTCTAATGAGCTGCACTTTGCACTTTACGGATCTGTCAGTCATAATCTGATCACGAACTCAAGCTCGACTTTTAACCCCTGATTTTATAGCCGTGGAATTCAGCTTTCTCCTAACTGTAGTAACGGAGCCGTGCTAACAGTACTATCCCTACTTGGCAGGGTTTTCTTTTCTGCTTGTTTTCCTACACACTTTGGCTGGGTCTATTTTCTACAACACCGTTCTTGCCCTATCACTTCTCTGTAAGGAAGCCCACTGCTTCTGATAAAGTCTGCATGTATCAAGAATCTGTCCACCGTCAGGCCCAAGCAACATCCAGCTTTTTCTGCAAGTTGGACTTCCTTTCCCAGAACCTACAAATTACATTCTAGATACATTTATATCTCCCCTAGGGAGCATAAACTCATAGGATCGACTTGGGACACTGTAGTCTTTGAAGGGAGGATTGTACTTAGTCTTGTAGTTTAATTCTCAGTGCATGATGAGTAATATACACATATTATCCCTGTACAAAAGAAACTGCAGATTAAAAAAAAATGGCTCCTTTCACTAACGTACGAAATTGTAGATACCTCTCCTAGCTTTTCCATCACAAAGCCATAATTTCACTCCTGGTTTACACGCATAGAAATGCACCATTAGAATAGATAGAGAACTGTAGTGTGCCCAGGGCTGAGGGTCGTTATTGAGTGATGCCGTGCTACAAAGAATTCTTTAGAACTTGCTTAGTTAAAAAAAAATGGCTCTTGGGTAGAATTCTCTAGTAGTGCACATAGTCCTAAGTTATTTTAAGCTGTTCCCACTCAGCAGACATTTCCCAGTTGTTTCATACCCTTACTGATAGCTGCTCCATCGTTTCTAATGTCCTGTTTGCAAACAGTGCTCTGCCAACCTCTCTATTCCCCATGAAGTTTTCTTTGTCTTGCTAGCTTTCCTTTTTTACTGTCTTATTATGATGGGATGAGCTTTTATTGCTGGAGTACCATGAAATGGAATAACAGGCTTTCTTCAGTGACTAACGCAATCCCTCAGACTTGCTTAAACTATTTCCTTGGGTGGATTATGAAGATCAACCAGCACACATGATTTGATGTTACTTGGAGCTCTTGAGACCTGCTCCTCAACTTTGGGGATGAGTTTTCTTTGTTTTTTGCTGTTGTTAGAGCCACCTTTCCAGTGGGGCACCCGGAGCAGAAGGTGAGCATCCGTTAAATAAACAAAGCTCTGGCGTCTTCCTTCTGTGACCTGTCAAAATGTTGTCTGGTGTTTGTGGGAGACACACCCTTTGTATAATGAAGTGCTATATCACTTTTAGACCTTTTAATATAAGCAATTATTTATGACCCCTTAACCTGGAAAAAATCCCTCAAGGGCATTAAGAGCTAAAGTTTCGTTTACAGTTAAATGATTCATCCATAAGGAGGTCTTAACTGCTCAGGAAGGAGTCGTAACTCTGATAACAGTCTGGTTGATGGGTTCACTTCCTGGCAAGGTGATATGGTTCTGATACAGGGTCCAAGAAGACAAAGGGCCTTTATTTTCTCTAAATTCTTTCACCAGGATAGGTATAAAATGCCTAGAAGGCAACTACTGTTGAGATTAAAAGGCCACAAAAACCAGTTTGAGATGTGTTGATCTTGTAAGGGAATCACTTAAACCACTGAGTTAGCTGCCCTGGCTAGAACAGGCATGCTTTGTTTTAAAATGTCAGAGAAGTGTGAAATGTTTGACTCTTTAATCATACAGTAAGTTTTGGATATTGCCTCTGCATTCTCACAAAGCAGGCTACTTTGTTGAATTCCCCAGTAGTAACCCAGGCAGGGAAAGCTTTGCTGTAAATTAGCACGAATAGGTATCTTAACTTGTCATGGCTGTGGTACATTCCAAATCTTCCTTCCTAGCCATCCGTTTCTCCCAAGATGCTGCTGCCTTGTAAGTGAAGAGTTGTTAGACATTTGTACCCAAGCAGAAGGGAGCCACAGGAATAGTGAGGTGTGCTGGGAAATTCCAGAGTTCTTGCAATTGCTGTTTGACCATTCTTGCTACTGTAAGCATCCTCAGATCTCACACAGATACTTATGGGTGCTGTAAGTCAATCACTACACTTGTTTGTAAAGAAAGCCTCAGATGCATTGGTCTCGGAAGCACTTGCTCCATCTATGCTGAAAGACTGTTTTGTGTGTCTGCTTCTTACTAGACTTGAGTTGCTTGCTTACTCTGTTTTCAGATTTCTTCCCTCATTTCTAGTTCTGTGTTTCCTAAATGTGCCTGACCATCAGCATCACCCAAGATGCTATAAACATGAAAAGTTTAAGAAAGTTGTGTGAGATCTTTGCCTGTTGCAGTAGAACTGCATCTTGGAATTTAATTGTTGAGGCCTTTAGTGTGTGTTCCTGCGAGTGATTGGTATTTGCATTTATTTGGTCTAGGCAGGAAATGAGATAACACACCAAAGCAGTGGAGGAGACAAGCCATCATATCCTAGGCACAATTGTGCAAACCAGAAGAGGCTTAGCGAATAGTGTTGGTCATATGACTGTGATTGGGGTGTGGTTGTGCACTAAAAATTTGTGTTGGGTAATGAGGCTAACAGATGTGAGCAGATACATATCTTGGAATGGATACAAAACTAACTGCTTTACATATACCATTTCTTGTTTAAACTTTCCAACTGTCCTATGAGGTAGGTATTGTTATTTCATACCGAAACTAAGAGTCTGTTGTTTCAAACCTTCGCCTGACTCGGTACATCTCATCACAGGGAGCTGGCACAGGATTCGTAGCCAGTCCATCAGGCGCGTGGTCCTCCTGGTGCTCTACTTTGCTGGGGTCTCCTTAATGCCAGGTTTCAGTTACAAAGCCACATTTTCAGCATCATGCATGATAGTATCACTCAGGAAGCTTTTCATATTTGCTTTGGCTTCACTTCAAGGAGCTTAGTGGGGTTGCACAGGATCTTGGCTGAGCATCCTTTACAAACTGTCTGAGCAGGGATAGAAATTGATGCTGGCTGAGGAGGGCTTGGAGCATCATTTGATGACACCCAGTAGAAAAGCTTCTTCCACAGCCTCCACTTTTCCAGGCTCCAGTTTATTCCTTCTACAGAAACTGAAATTGGTTAAAATATGGCATCGGCCTTTAAAATGAAAAAGAGACAAGAATGTGATAAAAGGTGTCTTTAGCTGAGGAATTTAGAATCCACGAGATCTGTTTGCAAGGGAAGTGTAGTCAACAATGAATAGTGAGGAAAGCTCCAGAATCAGGAACACCCAGTTTCTTGAATCTCTTTTCTGGAGAGTCTCCGAGGTCCTGAAGACATTTTCCTTTGGTGGAAGAAGAAAACCTGGGGATACATAGTGGTTCTTCAAAAATTTACTCAGCCTTGGTGATCATGGGCTTCCTTTCTCCTCCCTCCCTCCCTCCCTCCCTCCCTCCTTCCTTCCTTCCTTCCTTTCTTTCTTCTTCCTTCTTCTCCTTCCTTCCTTTCTACCTTCCTTCCTTTCCTTCTTTTTTTCTCACTTCTCTATCTAAGCAAATGTGAAATAAACACAAGCTCATTTGACTCCTATTGAATTTGATGCATTAATGTGTGTGTTGTAGACTAATGTTTAGTTTTGAATGCTCTAAGAAGAAAATACTTGCAGATTAGCTATTTAAATTTCTCCAAGCTAGTTGGAAAACTATTAACTGCTCAAATAATGTAAGTGTGTATTCTAATGTCAACTTCTAAGTTAAGAATTCTGCATTTCAGGCTCTCAACACTTGATCAAACATCTATTATATGGTCAGTACTCTCTTACCTTTGTGAAGATGCAGTCTAATTCATATTGAGTCCACTAGTTAAATCTGATTTATGTTTGGTCTTCAACCAGTAAGTGTGATTGTCCTGTAAGAGTTCCTCCTCCAAGTATTTATAGAAAATGGTTAGCCAAAGTAATCATGGATTGTGGCTCATAAAATCTCGAGAAAGAGAAAGTAAAATCAACGGTCACTGTATGTCAGCAACTTTGATTTGCTTCCATTAAAATGTTCAAGGCTACTTAGTGGAGAGAAGAAATTTAAATTAATGGATGTTGAGACAGAGAAAGAAAGAGTAATGCTCACTATTACACTATTATATCATGATAAGGTTTCTTCCCAGCATTTAAAATATTTTGTATTAGTGTTGATAAGGCAGTTGGATTGTGACGTTCTACTGGGATCAAGTCTTATTTTAATTATTTTATAACTATTACTAAAGCAGATAATAAAAAGTAAACAAAGAAGGAAAATGAAAAAAAAAGCGAAAAGAAAAAGAAAAGCATAAAAAAATGGCCTCCTTTTTTACATTTCCACATAGGTGATCTCCATACCAGGAGATGAACTTGAACTTGGTTGGGCGGGAGACGGACCTGGTTGGGCGGGAGACTGGAGCCCCTCAGAGAATTTGGGATTCTTCCATTTTTACTGGGAGGGTTGGCAGGTATACCATGTGTTGTTATGTGAGTCCATCAGAGCCCCCCGCGGCTCCAGCTCCCTGCCCCCTGCGGCGGGGAGTGAGTTGCTCACCCTGGAGCACTGGTTTCTGTCTGTGGCTTACCCATGAGCAGTGGCTTGGAAGTGTCAAAGCATGAGAAGCATGCCGTCAACAGCATGTGGTGCTGTCCTCTTCTACATGGTTCTGCATGGAGATGTGGGGGCTGCCTGCCTCTGAGTTTAGCCTGCTCCTTTCTTGCCCACAGAACTCCCTGAAGGCTTCCAGTAGGAAGAAGAAAAGAACGAGCTTTAAAAGAAAAGCCAGTAAAAGAGGAACGGAGGTGAGTCTTTCAGAGAGGTGTAAGTCTGCAGAGGCTGCTTAGCCCCGAGGATCTGGCCCACACTTGTTCTTGAGGTGTTTCCTTCTATCCTCCCTTTGCCCTTTATTCCCTTCTACATACATCAGAATCCCTCCTGTTCCAAATCCACCAACCTGTCCATCAATTAGTCAAATCTGACCTGCCATATCAGAGTAAGAGCATCTGCCCCTGCTTGGAATGTCTTCCCCAAAACGACGGTGATGGTAAAGATGGTGACGAGACCCGACACTTCCAGAGCTCTTAGAGAATGCAGAGTAAAATCCAAAGCCTAGCTCAGTCTTCTGGAGTAAATGATGGCGGGGGGTGCTTTCTTCCAGGTAATGCGGACACACTGCCATGAAGGTTCAGCCTTATGACATAAGACTCAGGATCCTAGGGGTGCACAGTGTTCTCTCTTCCCTTGCTTTGTGGTTGCTTCCAAGTCGTGGGCATTTATCCTAATAGTGCTGCCTGCCTCTTCCAGCAGGAAAACAAAGGTCGTCCTTTTGTGATCAAGCCCATCTCCTCTCCTCTCATGAAGCCTTTGCTTGTGTTTGTGAACCCAAAGAGTGGGGGCAACCAGGTAAGTCATTTCTCGAGTTTAGCTTTGAATAATTGATATGTCAAAGACACAGTCTCCAGGATGAAGTAAAATAGTGTGGTAACTGACGTGTGCCAGGATCAGGTTCAAAACCCCGAGAAGCCTGCCGTCTACGGCCTTCCATCCACAGCTAGACCAGACTGACGTTTTCCTTATAGATGTTCTAGAAGAATCCTTTCAGAGTTTCTTTTAGTTAATAGGTTTCAGAGAAAAGCAAAGAAGGGCTTATTCATGTTCAGTGTGAGAGCAAGTGGACAGACTGACTTCTCCCTGTGTGTATATCTTCTAAGGTTTCATAATCAGCAATACATTTACCAACTCGTCTTTATTTCTTCCTATTATAATTTAACCGGACTCCTGTGTCCCTGTCCTCAGTGAAAGGAATAACCAGAGGTCATTTGTCACAACAACTGTAAACAAGTACCGTAAGGCCAGAGAAATAATCCATTTCTAAGGACTTCATTATTCCTTTCGCTCTCTGCCCACTTCTTTCCGGATAGCTTAAGATCGACCCCATTTAAGAATACAAAGACATCCTTACAGAAGTTAATGGCATTCCAATGGCAGCCTTGCTCGTTAAAACCATGGTTTTCTCTATAATACAGTATAGAGAAAACTTTATCTTTTTATCCATTTTTCTTCCTGCTCTCTGGAGATTCTTACTAAGACTCTTCTGTGGGCTTTGATTTTCTGTTATTTTCCTGGGAATCTGGATGTGAAAATATTTTTTTTCTGACCAGTAAGTGTACACTGTACACTTCAAGACAAGACTTTGTGAAGGTTCAGCATCAACAAATAGAGATTTGAGACTCTTTAATCGCTCAAATAAAGAAAGATGTTATGTCGTCATCAGAGTTTTGACTGACTCCTCCAAAGGATGCCATCATTGCTAAGATAATAGATGTTTCCCAGGGTGCACTGACTATGCGAGACTTGCCGTGGGAGAGCCTATGGTTTAAAAGGAACTCCCGTTTCCTCCTTCTTCAAGATTCCCAGTCACCAGCAATATTAACAGTCTATCTCAGTCTTATGGAGAACAGATGTATCACAAGAAACAATTTATTTTCAGTAACCTTTTTCGTGTCTGTTAGTGATGATGTTCTTCCTATTCCAATGATGTGGTGCTACAGTAATCAGTAGAAAAGGACCAGGTGCTGGGTTCCTTAGTTCTGGTGTTCTGTTTGCCCTGAAACACACCCACTTAGGGGCTGACGTCCTTTAGCCTAACAAGGATGAGTGATGCAGTTGAGAATCAAGAAATGGAGCAAAGCAGATGTAATTAGTTCCCATTTGGGTGTCCTGAGACCTACAGGCTAGTTAGCATCAGCTATATTTTATCATGGCACTTCTTACAGAAAGCATATGTTTTGAGATAGGATCTCAAGTAACCCAAGCTGGCTTTGAGCGCTCTGTAGGGTCCAAAATGACCTTGGACTTCCTGATCTCTCCCTCCACCTCCTGAGTCCTGACATTACAGCATATGCCACCATGCCTGGTTACTGCAATGCTGCTGGGGACAGAACCCAAGAATGCATGTATGCTAGGCAAGCCCTCTGCCGCCTGAGCTGTATTCCCAGCCCTGAAGTGAATTCATGAATCAAGCTAAGAGACGCCCCACATTGGACACTCGGATGTTTTTTGTTTTGCGTGCCTTTTGAGACTGACAGACTATTTCAGATCTAACCCTTTTCCTGCTCCAGTCTCCGCAAGTTCATTAAAGACTAACAGACTAAAGAGGCTTAAGTGATTTTGGAGGACATCTTTTTGTTAAGGACACAAAAGGGGCTATTGGGGGGAAATGAGTCATGTGACCTTTGTTGTGTGTTCCAAACTGAGCACACCAGACTGCCAAAGGGGTGGAGTTCCAGAGGGAAACAGTGACTTTGGCATGAGAAAGAAGTAGTGTCCTCGAAGGGGCTGAGCTGGAAGAGGGGTGTTCTGCTACACAGAGGAGGGAACACGAGAGGAGAACCCCCTCCTCCACCGCGGGAAATTTCTGCTCATCCGTCAAGGCTCACCAGAGCCTGTAAGCCAGTTGTCAACATCAGGCACCCGCTCCATGGTGTTCTAAGACCCTGGGATGCACGCATCCATCATGGACCGTCAGTAGTGTTCTCCGGGGGTGTGTCCTCTCGGGTCATAGGTGCCAGCATAATAGGGAATCTTTGAATCCTAGATTTCTAGGTCACAGTGCGTAGCAAGCAAACCATTGTATAGTGAGAAATACAAATGACGTAGCCGATGCAGGGTGGGAATTCTGCACTGCGTGCAGAAAAGGCTCCAGGAAGTGTGATGCTGGAGAGACCAGAACCAGCCAGTGGAAAATGCTGTAAAACTTGGGTTTGTGCCTTTGAAACTGGGCTTCAGATCTTTTGGTTTATGAGCAGAGAGGCGACATGGTGAAGTTTAGTGTGCAGAAACTTTCTCGGGAGCCTGCTACGGCTCAGGTGCCATCTCAGTACATCAGAGTGGCCCCGACTTTCCTCATTTTCCACATGTTTCAGATGCTGTCTCTGCCTCTGCCTCTGCTTTAGTGGACAGAGCTCATGGTCTGGCCAGGGCTTCCTGTTGCAATAAGTGGGGTGGGGGTAGGCATATTCTGGATTTTTTTCAGTTTACCAATTAATAATTCACTTATTTTACTCATCTGATTTTAGGTAAAGAGCATTTTTTGACTCATTTCCTCTCTGAAGTGTTGGCTCCCAAACTTTTTAAGCTTGTGTTAGCCTTAAGTAAACAACTGGATGATATCGCCATCTAGTGGCCTGAGAAAGAATCGCTCCCCCATACTTCCTTAGGCATGAAAGAAAAAACAGTCAATGTTTTGAAGGATAATACTAGGACTTATATTTGAAGGATTATATTATTATAAGCATGCACCAGGACTGTTTCTGTTAAACTACACATTTTTCTCACCATTTCTTTTCAACATCACTATACTTATCCCTAGTTTTCCAGTGCCCTCAGGGTACACACAACACCGGTGTTTTGCAAAGGTTTGGACACTGGTTGTACTGTTGATACCAAAAACATTTGAAGGGACGGAAACTGGGTTCAGGGACTAAAACATCAGCTTTGAATTACTGTCCCTGTGGGAGGGAGACTGCGGGCAGGAGACGGATTTACTCCAACACAGTCCCCTCCTCTGTGTGGGGAGTTCAGTGTCTTTTTTCGTGTTAACTCATATGCATGCACAGGGGCACAGATGTTAACCACTGGAACAAATCTCCATAGTACTGAGAGTTGAGGTACTGAGACTCTGCTCACACTGGCCAGTGTGGAGTTCCAGGTCAAATGTGTGGTGGAAACTTAATTCCTGGACCAGAGCTCTCGGGCTCTGACTGAACAGAGGATGGGGGTGGGGGGTAGTGGGTTGGGGGGACGGGGAGTTACGGGGGTAGCTGCTGGTGGACAGATTCATGCTGGCTGAATTCGTACCACTCTCTCTGAACCAGTGTTCCCGCAGAAAAGTTACCCCCTCCTAAGTCAGGGGTCAATCATACCAATATGGACATGAGGGGACAGATAAAGAAACTGGCTTCAAATGAGAAATCTAACTCTATAAACTGTCTCCAAGATACTTGGATGCATTGTCTCAGTTAGACTTTTGAAGTGCTGGAAAAAATTGTGATCTGGAGCTAAATAAAACTTTATTGCTTTCTACAAATTCAGGCTTCTGTGGGACATATGGGTTTGGAGAGAGGGCCGAGAGACAGTAAGTAGGTGAAGGGGACATGTCAAAATCCAGTCTCAAGATCGCCAAGAGCGAGCTCAACAGATGAGATTAAAATAATGGAATTACGAGTCTGTTTAATGTCCCCCTCTTTATGTTACACAATTGTTGGGAGCGTGAGCAGTGGGAAGCAAAGACACAAACCAAGCCTTCTGGTTCCTCTGATGCCCTAAAGCTTACCCGTCGCTGGCTGCCCGACTTTCCTTGGTAAAGCATCTCAGGAACTGTTTCCTACAAAGCGAAGTCCAGAAGTTTCAGCACACAGGGCTTACTCTATGGCGTCCTCCAGATGTTTCATTTTGCACTGCTTCTTGCCTCTTGCCTCCTAAGACTGCCAGATGTAGTTTTTCGTGGCACATCTTGCTTGCTTACACCTCTAGTGACTTCTCTTGGGACCGTCACCCTTCCTCTGCTCCTATGGAGACACTCCACTTGTCTTTCACAATCACGCTCACATGGCACACTTAGGATACCTTCATCTGACCTAAGCTCGCATTTAGACATTGTCTCCCCGGGTAGCTGTGCTTCTCACTGTCACAGCATTTAACGGCTTCAGTGAATTCATACGTTAATGTTGGTTTCCTTCCAGTAGACGCTGTGCTCTGGAGTATAGACCCAAACACAGAACAGAGGCTAAATCCACAGTTGCTGATGGAGTGGTGGCTTCCTTGGGATTGTGTGTAGTGGAATTCGTTATTCTTAAGCTCTTCTTCTCACTGATCCCTTTTCTCCAGCTTGCTTATTGTCTGGTCAGGTGTTTCTGTCTTGATTATTTACATCATGCCTACATGATGTGACCTGGGACTTAGTGACGCTGTAGGATGCTCCTGCAGTGTTCTGACGGAAGGCTGTGTGTTGTGGACTGGGCTGTTCTGAATGGCTTCTCCATCATGATGAGATTTTGCCTTATGAATATTGCATAGAACTTCCTTGTGCAGCCAGGGGATCCCTGTCTGATCCTTCTCTACCTTCTCCCACCTAAAGCTACCACACACCCAAGAGTGGATGGTGGAGCTGTGGATGAATCTTGTTCATATCTGTAATAAGCCACCTGCTTTCCAAGAAGCTGCATTTTCCTCCAGCCAAAAGGGAAAGGGTAACTTTCTTCAGCTTCCTCCCAAGAGTACCCTAGTGACATAACAGCTGCAGAGGTCAGTGCTCAGCAAGCTGTTACACCTGGGAGTTGAACTGGAATCCACGAGCGCTGCTTCTCTTCCATTCAAGAAAACTAGACTCCTGCGTACACGTTGCAGGCCTTGGCGTTTGGCATGCAGGGTGTGAGGGCTGTCATGTGCCTGGTCTTGCTAATGGCAGTTGTGTAACTGACTGAGTAGATTTTATCTCAACACTAAGACGCACATTATCCTTTTCCGGTGAATCCCTTTTGTGTGACCATTCGGTTCCACTTACTAAGCAGTGGGAAAGGCAATCAATGTCTCTCATTTAAATGTGGGCATGTCTAGCTTTTATGAGCATCTAGCTTTTATGTCCCACTCACTAGGATTGATTTAAAGAAGTGATTTCATTTAATTTTTTGTCATTTCTCTTCATGCCTATTTTGGAAATATGTGTGTGTGTGTGTGTGTGTGTGAGAGAGAGAGAGAGAGAGAGAGAGAGAGAGAGAGAGAGAGAGAGAGAAGAGAGAGAAGAGAGAGTCCAAGCCTGGTGTCTTCCTCAGTCACGTTTCTTTGGTGGCGGGGCTCTTACTGAACTTGGCTGGGCTGGTTGACCAGCAAGCTTCTGGACTATGCCTGTCTCCACCTCTCTTGGTGTTGTGGTCTAAGTGAGTGCCTGGCTTTTTAAGTGGATGCTGGAGATCAGTATTCAACTTCTTCCCCCTTCCATAGAAAGTACTTTGTCTATTGTCCTGCCCAACATGATTCTTTAACAGAAGCGAAGTCTATCCATGCCTGGAGGTAGCCAAACACTGTTGCGTGGGTTACTCCTGCCAAGTCCAGGGATGCTGGTCCAGTAGACTGATCTGAGAATAGACTCTTTGGGGCATAGGAGGAACAACTTGCCAGGCTTTGTAGGCATTCCTCTCTTGAAGAATACATTAAGGTAATTAGGTGTTCCAGTGAACACAGATTTAAAATGAGCAGAAGTGAAACCATGCAGCCAGTTGATTCTTTTATAGAAACTTTAGGTTAAGCAAAATAACTTCCCTGTGCTTTGTATTTTCCTTGCTTGAAAGCTGTTAATTATCTCATATTGTGTGCATAATAGAAGCAGCTGAAATTGAGACATGCAGAGGTGCGAAAGCATTATTAACATCAGCCATTCATGCTGCCTTAGGAATCAAAACCAGAAAAAATTGACTTTCTATCCAGTTAGTGGGATGTGTTCTGTAAATTAGTTGGTCATTAAAGCGATGCTTATTTACCTATTTAACATGCAATGTGATCGAAATAACCCTGAGTGTACTTGGTAGCCAGGGCCAGCATGGAAAGAAAGAAAATGGCGTCCGTGTTGCTGGTGTGATGTCCCGAAATCCATGTTTGTGTTTGATAGGGAACGAAATATATATCATTTGGTGAGGCCGAAGGAGGTGTTGTGATCATTAAGAGTGAAATGTTATTCCCCAAATTATATCAAGCATGTGATAAGGCAGGACTTTAAGATTACAGCTCGGGAGGCAGAGGCAGGTCCATCTCTGTGAGTTCGAGACCAGCCTGGTCTACAGAGCTAGTTCCAGGACAGGCTCCAAAGCCACAGAGAAACCCTGTTTCGAAAAACAAAAAAACAACAACAAAAAAAAAGATTACAGCTCTGGGGGAATCCGAAGAACAAAAGAGCTGCATTGACTCCCTTGCCAACTGACAGTGTTGTGAGATCATCTCGAACCACAGGGTCACCCCTTGCCAGCTAGCGTAATTGAACAAATGGATTAACAAAGAGCAGAGAAGAAAGGGGGCAGCGTGTGCCCAGGTCTCTCTTGTGCCACCTGCTGTGCTAGATGCAGAGCCCTCAGAGAGTCAGTGGACTCCCTAATCACCCTGGAGGGGAGGCCTCCCTCCCTTCTCAGCTGCATACTGCACCTGGGCCAGATTCTGGGCGCTCTCCGGCACACAGAGCAGACCCTTAGCTCTCGCCCCACCCGCTCAAGCAAATACTATTGCTGTGATTGGTAAGCACGAGTTATTCTGCTCAGTGTTAAAGCTCTGTTGACACCGGTTAATTCAAAAGAGATCATTTGTTTCTTTCTTTCCTTCAGTCCACTCTAAGAATCATCTGCACTACCTCTGGTCTGTCCCCAGTGGTCACCTCTGTGACTATCACGGTTTCTTAAACCCTCCCAGGTGACTGAGGAGAGTTAGGAGTGAGCTGACAGACACATGTAGCTCAGAAAGAGACAAAATAGGTTATGACTATATTTGTTGATTAATAACAGCCCATGTCATTTCACATTAAACTTTAATGTTTAGATTACTGTTGTCCACATGAAATATGAATTATGGGTAGTATTAGCTAGTTATGAATTTATTGAAATAATTTTTCTCTGTGAAGCTAAAGAACAAATGAAAGCATATATATATATATATATACACACACACACACACAAAGGTTAGTTATATATATTATACATATAATTTTTATTTTTGATACAAGCTGTTACTGTGTAATCCAAACTGGATTTGAATTCATAATCCTTGTCTCCATTAAATGATATCTTAAATACTAAAATTATGGGCCCTTGTCACCATGCCAGGCACACAGAAAATGTTCATGTGAAATATTGCACTTTCATTTCTTCTGTTAAATGACATAGGCTAGCTGTTTTCCTGTATGGGCTTTTGCCATTGCACTGTGATACCAAAGTCTTAATACTGATCACTAAGCACATATCACATGTTATTGCAATCAAACCGTGTAGAAAGTGGGCACTCTCCACTCCATGTTAAAGAGAGCACATGATTGAATGAAATTATCCACATTGGACAATCATCTCATCTGGACATACATCCTGTGTGTACCTACAGTCAAAGCTCATGACTTTAACTACTGTTCCATTATTTCAAGGATTTAGCTTAGCTTTGCTCTGTGTGTGTGTCTGTGTGTGTGTGTGTCTGTGTGTGTGTGTCTGCCAAGGCCACAGGCACCAGATCCTCTTTGAGGGGCTTGAGTTACAGACAGTTGTGAGCTGCCTAGTGAGTTCTAGGAACAGAATGGAGGACCTCTGCAAAAACGGTATGCACAATAAGCCCTGGGCCATATCTCAAGAGCCCTTAAGAGAGAATGATTAGGTTTTATTTTCTAGTTTGGGAAATTTTGTTTCCTATGTATGTTATGTTATGTTTATGTGTACGTATGTACGCATATATGTATGTATGTATTTACTTATTTATTCATTTCTTTATAGGGAACCAAAGTCCTCCAGATGTTCATGTGGTACCTGAATCCACGGCAAGTCTTCGATCTTTCTCAGGAAGGGCCAAAAGATGCGTAAGTTTGGAATCCCTCCCCACCATGGACCTTCTGAATTTTGGGCTAGTGGGGACCGTAGGATTGGGGGTCAAGGTTATTTATTATCTCATGGTCTACTGAAGTTTTTCTGTTCACCTCTTAGCAACTTTCTGGCATGTATTTTGCTTTGCTTGAAATTTCCTAGTGCCCCAGCCACCCACCCACTGTCCCTGCGTTTATTTTCATCAAACCACTGTCTGATTAATTGTTGGGTCAGCACTTGCTTCTCTGGTGCTTGCTGCTTCTGTATGTAGGGCTAAAACTTATTCTCAGCAAGTCAGGGAATAAGGAAGGGCTCCTTGCCCTTCTGTTTATCCGTGTCCGTTTTGGAGATGCGTTTCAACAGAAATGTGACTTTATAACCAAGGGGTCAACATATGTAAGAATAAACATTTGATCTGGAAAGATTGTGTGTGTATGAATGCATCCAGATTGTGTATGTGGGGGTAATGGAGAGAGAAGAGGAAAGAAGAGAGGGGAGAAGAAAAGATGGATGGATGGATGGATTGATGGATGGATGAATGGATGAATGGATGGAGGGATAGGAAGTATTGAGATTAACCAGATGTAACTTTGAATGCCTCAGTGCAGTGGGACAGGCATTTTAATATCTCTTCCACCCCTTTCTATATTTATGTGTTTAGTTAGAAGTGTTGAAAATTAGGTCTATGTGTACATGACCCAGCATGGCGGGAAAGAGTAGGCACATTGCTGATGCTATTTGCTTCCCTGTCCTAGACCCGTTCCATTACTAAGACAGTTGTGGCAACATGAGATGGTGCTTACTCCTATAAATAGTGATGGTAGAGTAAAAGAATTGTCAATACGGATGGTTTCTGGAAGATATTGTTCCTAATCAAAATGGGGAAATTAAATATTCTAAATTTGTAAGGAAATAAGTATTATGGAACATGTTTCTATTATTCCATTATCTGTGCATAAGATTTCTTGACCTTAATGTTTGTTAAAGAACTGCTTCTTGACTTTAAAGTAAATATCTGCCTCTCTGGCTTGTGGTCTTTTGGATTTTATATTTATTAAGATTTTTTTTTATCACTTAAATTGTATTTTAAGTAGGTGTTTCATAAGGATCAGAGCAGAACAAGAAATCTTTTTGGGAAAACCCACACTATTATATATGAGTAGATGGTATTTCCCAAAGCAGAGCTGCCCACACCTGCCTTCTGCAGGAGGCTTTGCAAGGCTGAATGACTGTGCTTGTTGAGATTCAACCAGAAAGATAAATGATTTGGCCCCAAGTGGGCACATTCAAAGTAAAGACAAGCCCATCGATGTCTCCCACGAAGGGCTGGCAGGGAGGAAAGGCTGAGTGAGTGGGTGGCTAAGGTAGGGACGACAGCAGCGAGCCTGCTCCATCTTCTTGAAAGTATCTAGAATTAAGAGAGGAAAGTGTGGATTCGAAAGATAAACAGACCCAAGAAAAGCTAATCAAAATTAAATAAGGGGGAAAGACATAAAGACTACTGATTATCAGTTAATTGGGTTTTTCTCTGAGAAGGAAGAGTGAGAGGAAGTGAAAAAGAAGAAAGGAAGGTAAAAACTGGATAGAAAGATCATGTGGGTTGGCAGGATCGGACGGTGGAGAATTATGGGAAGACGGGAGGACTCCAGCTCCCATCCCCATGTTGGTCCCGGAACACCAGCATCTGCTTCGGACCTAGTGTGGATGTTGGGTTGTCGTGGTTCTGAGGGATGGGTAGCTCACACGTGTCCTCGGTGGGTAGTGCCCATTCATTTTGCCCTGTGCTACCTCTCTGCAGAGAACCATGTGCTTGCTCACTCTGTCCTCCGTTTCCCCTCCAGGTTGGAGTTGTACAGGAAGGTACCAAATCTGCGAATTCTGGCCTGCGGTGGGGATGGAACGGTAGGTCCTTGAAAGAGAATCCATTTGCTCCCTCACCCATCTGTCTTCCTGACGGGATTTCCTGCGGGGAAACTTCTCTCTTCAGCCCAAGTCTTTCCAGTGCCCCCGCATGGATTCCTGTCTGTCTGATTTGAGTCATAACCCCTGTGGTTGAGAAGGGTTCAGCGGTCACGGGGCCTACGCTCAGCCCTCTACCCTCACCTGCACTACCCCATCTTCTGTTGCAGGGTAAGGACATTGCCATTCCTGGGGTAAAAGATTTTCACAGAAGGCTAAATTCTTTTTCAAATACAAGCTGGCATTTTTCCATTTATCCTTTCATAACTGTGGTTTATTAATCAAATTTGTTTTTAAGCCAGTATGTAAAACCAAGAACACCACCAGCAGCCCTTGGTCACCGTTGGTCATTTCTGAGAGCAGTTTCTTATAAGGTCAAATGCTGCCTCATCATGATTTTGATTAGCTTTCCCCACAGACCTGTTCTCTATTCGGATGTCTTTCGAGAAACGTTTACTGCAGCTGCCTTTTTAAAGTTGGGCTGCATTCCTTCAGTGGAGTTCTTTAGTTCCTGGTTCAGTCTGGAGCCTTTGTCAGATGGATAGTAGAATCAATCAATCAATCAATCAGTCAGTCAATCAAAAGGCAAATAAATAAATAAACGTAAAGTGTTGATAGACAAGACTCTCAGAAGCTGCTCAATTACTGCCTAATAATGTCACAGATTGACAGTAAAATGAGGAGCTATGATCATCCCCATGCAAGCAGCATATGGTCCTGCGGATCAAACTCAGGTCACCAAGCTTGTGTGTCAAGCGCTTTACTCACTGAGACATCTGCCGGGACCACCCTGCCCTGCCCTTGACTGCTTGTCTTATTTTTTTTTTAATTTATTTTTAATTTGGATCTTTAGTTAAACACTTAGTTTTTAATTTTGCTGTGAATTTTCAGTTAAAGCATTTCTGTGTTTTGCTTGTTTGTTTATATTTCTTTACGGTCCAATGAATGAGATGGCTCAGCAGGGAAAGGTGCTTGCTGCCAAGCCTGGTGACCTGAGTTCAGTTCCCGGGACTCTCAAAAGTGGGCTTCCGTCTTTCACACGCACATCGGGGCACGTGCAAGGTGCACACCTGTTCATTTGTGTTCTCTCGCTCCTCTCCCTGTCTTTCTCACAGATGCTCACACAAAACAGTAAATAAATAAAAATAAAGTTCTTTCATCTTTGTTGTTTCTCTCTGACTTTTCTTGAGTTTCCTCCAAACAGCTGTTTTTAAATCTCCAGTCTAAACATTGGCTCATCCCAATTACTATGGCTACTTTTTCGTGCTTTATTTTTACGGTAGGTGAGACTGTGGCTTCCTGGCAGCTCTTGGTGATGGCTTGTGACGTCACCTGAGCATTGATGCTGAAGGCTTTTGGTTGCCCTTGTGCCTTGGAGAAACTCTTAGGCTGCTCCTCCCACCTCTGCAGTTACTTTTGTTGTTGGTTCCTGCATTCACCCTCAGGGTGTCGTCGCAGTTCGAACACTAGAGGGCAGTCTAAGACCACGTTTCTTCTAATCCTCCTGGTACACATTTCAGCTTGAACCAAGTTATAACCGAAAAAGAGTAATTGACTCCCAAACCTCTCTGTAGATCTGAGCTTCGCCTGAACTTATCCACGGAAACTTGCCTGTCCTCACAGAGGGACCAGCATCAGGTCCTTAGTCACCCATGCTGCAAAGCTGTTTCCTACTATGAACCCACAGTTTGTCAAGACAGCACTGGGGTAGCACCAAGGTCCATGATGCTATGAGCTGCGAATGGTTGACACAGACTTATGACCTAAGACAACTAGAACCAGCTGAAACTGATGCTGGCCCAAATGGAAGTCTGATAGACGGGGGCCGTGTGTCACGGTTGGCCCCAAGGTTGGTCTAGAGGCTCTTTTGCTAGCAAAGGCTTGGGAGTGGAAGCTTTTCAATCTTTCCCAGTGTCCTGGCTGGCACTGGGTTCCAAGGCTTTGTACTAGACTAACTAATTTGGTCTATCCTCAGCAAATGAAATCTTACTCCCCACCAGGCTGGCCAAGATTGGAGTAGCGTTGCTAACGTAGTTTCTAATGCCAGTTTTAGGTTTGGGTTGTACTTAAGTCCCTGAGCTCAAAGGGTTAGTGCAGTCTTGGGTGTGAGGCTTATACCACAGCCAAAGGGGATGCAGGCCAAAATATGAGTCTTTCATAGTGAGCCTCAAGATGTCTCGATGACGCAGGACTAGGGCTCCATCCGTGAGCACTGGCTTGAGAATGGGTTGTGCTGCCTCAAGTCTGAGGTCAGAGTCTGTGCCTTGTCCCCCAGGACTTATACAAGCTGGGCCACCCCTGAATCTCTCAACAGCAGGGACCCATGAAATCTTTGGGCATCCCAGACCAGTTCTAAGATTGGCAGTGAGGCAGGCCAAGACTTGAGTCTGTCCCTCTGGAGTACTGGTCTCTTTCAGATGCTGGGAGGTTAGTTGGTGAGCGCTAGCCTGGCTGTGGGAATATTGATTTTTGCCTGGTATTAGAACCCGTTGTTGGAGGCTGAGTACTGGGCTCAAAGGCAAAGTCTATGCTAGCTTTCATGCCCCGCCAGCAGGTTGAGTCTGGCTTCTGCTGCCTGAGGTCGGAGAGTGGAGTCTCAGTAGAGTGGCCAGCTCCTCACTAAGGCAGACCGGCAGCTCACTCCCTGAGAACTGACCTAGAGCGGACGTGGGGGGCTCTTTCTCTTACATCTGGCTCCGTTCTGGTGAGACTGATAGCGATACTGAGCTATAGCACACTGTTTTGGCTGACCACATGGCCAAGAAGCCGCCCCTGTCCCCACATCTCAATGCAGAGATTGTAAAGTATACACCACCACCCACTACTCCCTACATTTTATGTGGGATTGGAGCTCCAGCTCGGGTCCTCATGCTGGTGCAGCGAGCACTGTATCTGCTGAGCCCTCTTCCCCGCCCCTCGTTTGTCTTTATTTTCGAGGAAAGTATAGAATTGGTCTAAGTCCTACTCCCTTGAATGCTCATGCTTGTCATGTCTCATATCTCCTCTTGGCCTCCGCCTCCATGTAGTTGGCAAAGGTGAAGGACAATCAGGACAGAGTGTGCGTCTGGGTACCTTTCTTCTGGATGCGGAGTCTGATGGTTCGGAATCGAAGGATGTTTTATGCACCATCTTTGGTTTTCCCTTCCTCTCCCTAATTATGATTTTTTATTCTTGAAGGTAGCAACAGAATCTCCTCTCATAGGCCAGGAGCCCTGGACACCGCACTGAGTGCATAGTATATCCTAGTGAACGAAACTGGAATAGGGTACGCCAGTGGTTCCTTGGCTCCGTCTGGATGTTTGGTGGAATAGCCTAGTTGAGAAAATAGCATCTGCCCTCCTTCAAGATTTACAGTTATTAGCTTGTAAAATCCTTTATGTCATGTTGCATAAAAGAAAACATATGTGCTTTAAAGCGTGTGCTGGTTAGTTTTTTTTTTTATCAATTTGACACAAACCTAGACATATCTGGAAAGAGGGATTCTTAATTGAGAACATGCTTACATCAGAACAGCCTGTAGACGAGTCTGTAAGATGTTGCCTTGATTAATGATTGATGTGGGAAGGCCTAGCCCACTATGGGCGGTGCCACCCCTGGATCGGTGGTCCTGGGTTGTAGGAGAAAGAATGCTGCACAAGCCAGCAAGCCCCCAAGAGCAAGCTAAGAAGCTTGTTGCCCTCTCTGAGTTCCTGTCATGGCGTCTCTCAAGGATGGACTGTGATTGAGATGCACAAGCAAAATAAACCTTTTCCTTCGGTAAGTTGCTTTTGATCTGGTGTCTTTCACAGCAGAAGATGACAACATCATCCCATCTTTCCCTAACTGTATTTTGTGATAGAGTTCCTCCCACAATGCCTGCTAACTCTGCACTGGTTACAGGTCCTGTTGGGGATATGTTAGCGCAGAGTGAAAAGGTCGTGGTCCCTTTCTTTCTACTCTGAGGGTCACGGCTGATGTCCAGAGCAGATGACAAACAAGCAGAGAAAATTGTGGGGAATTTATTTAATCCAAGTTTTATTGACAAGGGGTGCTTTAGTCTGAGGACTTAAAGATGTAGGAACAACGAATTGCTCCTCTGCTTAGATTTGCTGAAGACCAGTGGTCCTGGGCTGGAGGGAGACGCCCAGCAAGGATGCCTTTTCAGATCCTTCTTGGACTCTGTAGCCTTCCCTCCTCCCAGGAGTGGGGCACGGCCCCTTCTGCACGTGGATCTTCTGCTCTCCTGTCAGATAAGGCCAATCAGAGCTTTTGACCAGCTCCTGGGCAGAAAGGCAGGGGAAGATTAGAGTTGTGCTTTTAAACTCTATTGATTGCTTTAGGGCAAGGGGTTCTAGCTTTCGAGCCCCCTCAGTGAGGAGGAGTTCTCATTTCCGTGTCTCACCCTGGGAAGAGTGAGGGAGCCACGGAGGAAAGTGAGAGCGAAGTCTTTGCTGTCTGTGTCTTTCATTTCAATGCACCCAGAATGCCACAGTAAGGCTGGGCAAGCATTTTCCAAGTTCCAACACTAGAATTCAATTTTATTCGTTTCCTATATTAAGAATTCTATCCAGATAACTCCTCTGGTACTAGATCCAGAAAATTCTTCATCCTATCACCAACTCATGGGCTGAGTTTAATGCAAGGTGAAATTCATTGTGAGTTGGCCGCAGTTATCTTCCTTACCTTCGAGTCTCCGTCTTCCTCGGTGACTTCAGCTCCCCGCTCTCCTTCTCCTCTAAGTCTCGGGGACAGCTAGACAGAACTTGAGGGCATGTCTGGGGACGTGGGCTCAAGTTCTTTATTAAGTTACGTGCAGAGCCCACTCAGGGTTCCTAAGCTGCAGATCCTTCCTGACTGGGGCACCTCACATCTCACCCGACTCTGTCCACCCCTCACCCATCCCCCTATATCTACTGCTCCCCTGCATCCACCTCCTGCTGGTTCCCCCATCCTCACCCTTTGTG